GCCCCACATTGGTGGCAATTTTGGGTCTGGAAGGAGGCAGAGGCCAAAGAGCACTGCTGGTCACCCATCTCCAAGACTGGGGCAGGGATCTGGCCACAAACCCCACCAGCTTCCAAGTGTTGCAGCACAAGGCAGATACAGGCAGAGGACAAGCAAGCGGGTGAAGGGAAAGGCGATGGAGACCCATGTCTCTACAAGTCCTGTGGGCTGGACAGGTGACTTTCCATAAACCAGGGCAGCATGGCAGTGCTGCTGATCACTGATGCGGAGCAGACCCGTGGGGTTCAAATCCTAATTCCACTGCTCAGGGGTCCTGTCATCTTTGACAGTGACACAGCCTCCGCCACCACAACTGTTTCTTCATCTGGAAAATGGGCAAAGTAATAGAACCGACCTCACCAGTGAGGCTTTGAGGGGCTTCCTGGCACACGCAAGAGCCGTACACACCTCAGGGGGTTTCAAAGTCTACGTGAACTATACACTGACTGCCAGGCTCTCACCTGGATCCCTGAGCAACATACATGGAGACATCTGTGATCATCATGACTGGAGGTGCTCCTGGCATCGAGTGAGCGGAAGGGATGCTGCTCGACACCCACAGTGCCTAGGATGGCCCCCCCTAGACTGACGCTGCCCGATGTCAGCAGAGCCCAGGGAAGAACTGGTCTACCAACAGCTCTGTGTGGTTAAACTAAAATGTTGCCCTTCACTGCCTATGGCTGGAATTATATCAATTCATGTGCTGCTATCCTGGCCCTCCCCACTAAGATTCTTCAAGCCACTGATTAATTAAATAAACAAAACCAAAATGCCTCACACAGTAAAAAAAACAAACCCTTGAAATTTAGGGTCAGTAACAGTGGGTGGGCCGTGGAAACCTGCTGCTCTAGGTAGGTCAAGTTCCCTTTTTTACCAACTAGGAGACCAAGGCCCACAGAGCCAGGCAACTGCTCAAGGTCTCAGGTGTAAGAATCCGGAACATGACTCCATAGTGAGAGGGAGGCTGTGGGGACCCCCTCTGGCCCCACCTCACCTTGTTGATGTCGATGGTCTCCAGGGCCAGCTGCCGGAGGCGCTCCCGCCGGTCCCTGTTGCTCTCAGAAGAGGAGGCCACGCCCCCACTCCCGGTCTTGCCCCCAGGGCGATGTTGGAAGTCCATGGTGAAGGCCTTGGGGCTTTACTGGACTGGGGGGATACCTGAAGGAGGGGGGACAAAGGGGAGAGGTGGTAAACGTTGCTAAATGTGGCCAGCTGTCACTGGGGGACTCAAGCCGAACAGGGGGAGCAGGTGAAGAGACCTCGCCGGACCTGTTTTTCCCCCCTCCCTCCTGCCCCCCCCCCCCCCCCACATCCCAACACCACGTGTAAAAACCCCCATGGGACCAGTCTTCAGTCTCCGTGGGACTGGAACAAGCCCAGTGCCTTCAGAATAAGCACCTGAATCGCTAGTGGCAGGCTGGTGTTGAGAAAGTACCCACTGAATCTGGCTCAGGGAAATCCAAACCAAGCAAATACTTAACTGCTCACCTAGAATAAAAACCAGCAACTATTGGAAACCAAACTGCTGGTTACTCACAGCCCACGTTACCCGCCCCCCTAGCAGCACCCCCACCCCGAATGAACTGAGAACTCACACCCTGAGAGGAAGGTCCCTGCCCAGGTACCCTCGGCTCCCCAGAGAAATCAGTTTTATATTCAGAAAAAATGGAATGAGGGGTCTCTCAGCTGAGAGAGGCAGACACGAGAGGCTGGGGGTGAGGGCCAGGTTGAAAAGAGGGGAGTCCATCAGAACCAGCCTACTGACCAGCAGGCAGACTGTCCTTCCTCCCACTGTGTCCAGAGGGCAGGCAGCCCCGCCTGCAGGCCCCCAGCCCAGGGCACCTTAGAAGACGTTCCTGGGGAAAGAACGCCAGGGAAAGTATTCTCAGACACTGACAGCTGGGGGTTCCCCATGCCAGGCCCACTGAGCAGTGAGACCCACAAGATAAGCATGGCTCTCCCACACAGAGCCGGTGACTTCACATAACAGACACAAAGAATCAAACACACCCAAGGAACAAGACACCTAATGGAATCCCCAACAAGATGACAGCATCCTCCTGAATTATCAGAGACGTTACTGTACCGCGAAACTTGAACAGGATGCCAAAGGTCAGCCCAGTGAGTGAACCCTTGGAAAGTAGAGACTGGATGATCCAAATAATTGAATACGAGTGCTTGAAGGTCAAAGAAATCTCACATAAAGGAGAACAAAAAAATGAAAAGACAGGAGCACAGTAAAAACCTAGATGGAATTCCAGAGTGAAATCAGAAAGAAAGAGAGAATGTTATCAAAGATAATTACCAAAGAAGTAAAAGAAAATGCCCCAGGACTAAAAGGATCTAATTCTTCCCACAGGACAAAAAGACCTTCTTCAATAAATGGCTCATGAAACTTAAACCACCGAGGATACCCCGTTTCTATTAGCCAAAGAAACAACAGGTCAGAAAGCAGCGTGAGGCCAGCATTATTCACCAAGGTAGAGGCCGGCTTTCAGGACAGCACTGAACTCTAAAAGGAGCAACACTCTCACAGGTCTCCATGTGGATCTTCAACCCAGAATTTTAATTTCATACCCAAACTGTGACGGTAAATGAAGCCATTTTCAAATAACCAAGGACTCAAAATCAATCCCTGATCAATCGATTTCTTCAAAGACTACCAGGAGGTGAGCTTACAGTAGGAAGAGAAGAAAAGGGTCAGACTGAAAACAGAAGCCAACCCAGGAGAGCGCTAACATAAAGTTCTAGGACAACTGAGGAGTGAGTAGCAGAGTGCCAGGGTCTGGGGGAAAGAAAATAAAAGGATCAATTCCTTTAAACCTGTGGGAAAATACAACCTACCGCTGTGTGACGTGCTGGAGCTTTGAGGGAAATATTGACAGCTGGCAAAGAAAATCAGGCTCCCGGCCGGGTAGCTCCGTTGGCTAGAGCATCATCCCAATATACCAAGGTTGTGGGCTTGATCCCCAGTCAGGGCACATAGAAGAAGCAACCAATGAGTACATAAAAAAGCAAAACAACAAACCCAAGTCTCTCTCTTGAATCAATAAAAATTAAAAACCAAGCTAACGGAAAAGATGAAGACATTAATTAGTGCCCTGGCTGGTTTGGCTCAGTGGATAGAGCATCGACCTTCGGACTGAAGGGTCGCAGGTTCAATTCTGGTCAAGGGCACATGCTGGGGTTGTGGGCTTGATCCCCAGTAGGAGGCGTGCAGGAGGCAGCCGATCAATGATTCTCTCTCATCACTGATGTTTCAATCTCTCCCTTCCTTTCTGAAATCAATAAAAATATATATTAAAAAAAAAAAGAAAGCCCAAACGGGTTTGGCTCAGTGGATAGAGTGTCGGCCTGCAGACTAGAAGGTCCCAGGTTCGATTCCGGTCAAGGGCATGTACCTTGGTTGCGGGCACATCCCCAGTAGCGGGTGTGCAGGGGGCAGCTGATCGATGTTTCTCTCCCATTGATGTTTCTAACTCTCTATCCCTCTCTGTAAAAAATCAATAAAATATATTTTTAAAAAAAGACATTAGCTTTGGGGGGTGGGGGGAATGAACAGTACAGGAAAAGCAACACAGATGAACATGTTCTTGCCTTAATACTGAACAATATTTTCAGTCTCAGAAACAGAACTGGCCCTGGCTGGGTAGCTCGTTGGTTAGAGCATTGCCTGGATTGCCTCCCCCGTCAGGGCACTTACAAGAATTAAACAATAAATGCATACATAAGTGGAACAACAAATCGATGTTTCTCTTTTCCCCTTCTTTGCTCTCTCTAAAATCAATCAATAAAAAAATTAATAATGAAAACAGAACTAATGATTTGACGAGCGCGCATGACATAAAGTTTATGTTACATCCCGGTATGGAGGGTGAAGTTGGCGTGGATGGGCGGGGGGGAGAAATCAGACCGCATCGATCACAGTAAGAAGCCAAAAGGCTGAGTCTAAAAGCGACCCGTCCAGAAAGCGGCAAAGGCCGGCGGGAAGCTTTGCGCAGAGGCGTCCCCTGCGGCCACGGAGGATCCAGGGATGAATGACAGCTTTATCAACAGGCTATTATCTCCTTCAACAGGGCAAACGGATTATTAACGTCGGGAACTTCTCCCCCTCGGTCTGCGCTGCCAAGGGGCATAGGAAAGAACGGTCCTGGCATCTCGGTCTGGCCGGTAGGGAAGTCGTTAACCTCGGGGCCTCGCTGGCGGAAAGGCGGGCTAGCGGGCTCCGGCGGCGGCGGCGCAGTGGGGCACTCGGTCCTCCCGTGTGACTCTCGGACCACAAAGCCAGTCAACTAACGGACGCAACCTAGTGCTCACACAGGTCCTCGGTTACACGGGCGGCGCCATGTGAGTTGCGAGCCCGACCCGATCTCAGCGGGTCTTCGGAGAGTTTCAAGCGAGCGGTGGGGCGCCGGGGACAGAGGCCCCACATTCCTGAGTGGGCGACGCATCCGCCCGCCCTCAGCCGCGCCGCAGGCGCCCTTCGCCCACGTTTGGTCCCTTCCAGGGAACTTCGGGCCCCGGGGCCGCCACTCTCGCCTCGCTCCTCACCTGCACCCGAGGCCGCGATCCCGTCGCCTTTCCACCAGCCACGGCCACTACGACTTCGTTCAGCGAACAAGCGAGGCCTAAGGAACCACTTCCGGGGCTAACGGGGCGGGACCTCCCTTGTGCGCAAGTTCCGCCCGCTCGGGAGCGCAGGCCAGACACTTGGAAAGTGCGAGGGAAGAGGAGGGGCTGAGAATGCGGGCCGGAAGCAGAAGTGCGCATGCCCAAGAGGCTCAACAAAAAAACAAAACACTCACAAAAAACACACCACGAACTAAAAAACACCACCTCTCAGTCAGTCTAACTCGCGTGAGGCCAGTTATCGCGGGAAGGAGGGCTGGGACTTGCCCTCCTCGGCCTGTTCCGGTCCATTTCAGTAGGGATGCTTACTTTCCAACCCGGGTCCAACTTACTGTATGGTTACAGAAAATGACCGTCGTGTCGCCCGCTGTCCCCTACGCCCGACGAGGGCGCCACTCTGTGTGCCCCACTCCCACCCCCGGGACGCTAGTGGCCCTCCCGGTGATGGACAGGTTGAGAGGCCTGGGAAGCGCAGGCGCAGTAGCTTCGGAAGCGCTTCCGGGACGGCGCTGTGGAACTTTTTTGGCGCGAGTGGGGGGCGGCGGCCGGGAAATCGCGGTCCGCACTCCGCGTTCTGGGTCCCGGGCCGCCATGCGCTACAACGAGAAGGAACTGCAGGCGCTGTCCCGGCAGCCGGCTGAGCTGGCAGCCGAACTCGGCATGCGAGGCCCCAAGAAGGGCAGCGGTGAGTGGGGTAGGGGCTGTGAGC